ACACGCTCACCTTCACTTAGGGTATCATTGCGGGGAAAGCGATCTTATTTCAAATGAATAAAACATCACAACTTAGGACATTTAGTTTCAAACTTCAAATTATATAAAACTACTTTCAAAGAAATGAGTTATCATATTCAACTCTCAACAACTTCAAACATAAACTGAATAATCAATTAAACTCCAACAATAACATAATAAGCAAAACAAACATTCTCAACCCCGATGTTACAGAATCAAAGCAAGACTTCTAAAATAACGACAAAACTAAAATAAGTAACTCCAAGAGCTATCTTCCACTTACAACAACAAACTATACACCCGAGTACCTGCAAGATGTCCATGGTGGACAAAATAAAAAAAAAAGGCGTGAGAATTCACTTCAATAATTAAATAGTATAAGCTACAAGGTAGAATACAAATATTTACACATCCAACAAGCAATTATACACCATCACTTCACAATAATATTCTCACACCCAACTCATAATCAAACACATCATAATCACATACAACTCATCATCATACACATTATAATCACACATTAATCATTTAAACTTATGCAATGAGACTCACAATGACAACTAGACTCATATGCATGTGGTACCATATCTCCAACAATTGATTCACTAAAAAACCAAGTTCACCCTGTCCGAACCCCGGATCCACCCATCTCAGATTCATGACAAGTCACCAATCTACCTTGCTCAAATTGTAACTTGCCTCTTTCACCAACAACACAAACATCATGAATGCATGTCAAAATACGTCAATGCAACAATAACATAATGTTTAAAGTCCCCTCCTGACAATAAATAAAATATGCATTGACTCAATGATAATAACCCCCTACTCAAACTATTATTCACTAATACAATAACAACATAAATATTGTATAATAACCTCAACATAACATCACCATCATAACAACATCATTAACATCAACATCCTCAACACAACAACATCACATATTCCACAATTTAATATATAATTAATTTAACACATAATTATATACAACATCACTTATTTCATCTACATATCTCATGATCATACAACAACACATCAATCACCATTTACATATTTAACACAACATCATCACAAATTATTCACATCATACAATAGCATAATAAGTAGGATTAACATTCAACATCATAGAACAACACAATTGATTCATGGTTATTTCACCTTTATAATAACATGACAATACATCATGTTTGAATAATTATTTAAAATATCAAATGGAGTCGGAATCAAACAAAAGAATATGTTCCGGAAAGCTTAGAAAGTCTATTTTAAGAATATGATTTTTATTAAGGACTTAATACACTAACCAAATGATTTTAATCAAACAACAAGAACGAGTACTCATATCGGGCAAAATGTTTTGCCTAACTTCAAAATGGCGCAAAAAATTATATACCTGTGAGAAAAATATGAAAATTTCCAGTTGAAAAGATCATTAAGTACTTTTTCCAATGCAACTGACCGCATCCCCAAAATGGACTCACGAGACTCCAGTTACATTAGAAACAAGTTGACCAACACATGACCGGAATCGCCAATATTTATGGTATAAAAACTAGAAAACCACTACTGTTGTAGCATTCATAGATAGGCATGGCAAATAAACTCGCCCCCGCCGGGCCCTGGGTGCTCCCGTCCCGAAATTAGCGGGGAAAACACGGTTTAACCGGGGGCGGGTGCGGGTGCGGGGAAAACCCGGTTTTTATTTACGGGTGCGGGTGCTGGGGCGGGTGATGCTAGTACCCACTCTGCACCCGCCCCCGCCCCGCCCCGCCAACTAAATTTAATTTATTTTTTAATAGTTTTATTACTCATTTACACTTTTTAATGTTATAATATCATGTTTATTAGAATTATTATTATTTTTAAAAAAAATACAATTTAAATAAAAATATCAAACATAAAAATGCTTTTAAAATAATTAACTATTTAGTTAATTATTGATTTTTATTTTTATTGGAAAAAAATATAAATTTTTAAAAATTAATATTTTATTCGGACGGGTGTAGGGCGGGTGCGGGGAAACCTGTTTCTTATTGGGGGCGGGGGTGGGGGAACAAATATTAGTCCCGATCGGGTTTGGGGGCGGGGGCGGGTCTGGATCTGGGTGGCGGGTGTGGGTCTGGGTGTGCTTAAACCTGCCCCTGCCCTGCCCCGTTGCCATCCCTATTCATAAACCTAATTTATCCACTTAGAAAGAAAGATTATCACGTTAGTTTTCTAACGCAACTGACAGTGCCTCAAACGGTCTTACAAAGCTCAAGATATGCACGAAACAAGTTAATCAATACTCTCCTACGTTTTCCTGCATTTTTCTTACAGGAATTTCACTCCTAAGCTTATATTTTTCAACTTAGACCCATCCTAAACATTCTCTAACATGTTCAAATAACCTATTTCAAAAATCTATTGCTATAAGTCAATTACTTACTATTATTTCACTATAACCTATCAACCAACATCTAATTTCACCAAAGATTATCATCCTTATCAATTTTCAAAAAATCCTCGTAACTCTCAAAATTCATCAGTGATGAAATTTCATAACAACTCAAAACATAATTTAACACACATCGTAGTGCACAAACTTTATCATTAACATCATCACATAACAATAGTTCATTATCAATTTACCTAATTAAATCAAAATCAAACAATCCTATTGGAGGTCAAGGACTCTTCATTCTACTCCTCATGCATAAACCCATTAGAGAAATAGTTTTTCCCTTACCTGTTTTTCCTAGCAGCAACCTTTTAGTGATATCCTTTCCAAAGCTCGAGCTCCCCCTCTCTCTCTAAAAGCTTTTGCTTCCTATCTTCTTCCTTTTCACACACTGATAAAAAAAACTCCCTAATTCTCTCAACTCCTCTTTTTATAATAACCAAAAATCCCTAATTTGACTTTCTCTATTATATTCTCACTTACTCCCATAATCCCTATTTTATCATTTCCTTAAATTCCTATTTTATTTCAATATTCAATTTAATAATCAAATATTCTACTAACTACCTCTAGTTTCTCATTAAATCCAATAAATCTAATAAAACACTATTATTTTAATTATTAAAATAAACTCTAATAATTTTAATCAAACTCTATTCGTCTCTAATTATTCTCCATACTCTTATCTCTATGTCACACGCCTCAATCACCCATATTTATTTAATTAATATTATCCAATAATTTAAATAAATACACAAAAATCATAATAAATCAAATAATATAATAACTCAAAAACTGGGGTGTTAAAGTAGCATTGTATGCTAGTTTTTAAGGCTGTTTAAGGGACCAACTCACGTGAGGTGAGAGATCCAGTTGACAGTCGATGCTGTTGGGTTGCAGACATACAATTAGATTGACGGTGTCAAGACTACTAGGAGCAAAATGCTCTCTGAGTAGTAATGGATAATAGTAAATGTGTATGACTTCAGAATCTGTCTATCCCCTTGAGAGAGATGCCATATTTATAAGGATCTATATGACCTAGAGCTTTTATCTCATGGACGTGGTCTTAACCGCTTCATTCTTTTTGGAGGAGGTTATTTGATTGCCTATCTTTACGGAGTCAGCGGAGACCCTTTCCAGCTTAACTCCCTTTTTGAAAGAAATTCTTAGACAACTCTCTCAAAATTCTCCCTTAGATGGCACAAAAGTTGGACGAGGATGCCCTATGATGCATCTTTACCAAATATAACACTACAATAACATATAATATATGTTAAAAGTTTGAAACAAAAGAAATAAAAAATCAAACAAAACTAATAAATAATATTAAAAATTATTATCAATGAATAATTTATTATTTTCATAAAATCGCTTTCTATGATATTTATTTATTTTTGTAATTTTATTTTTTAAAATTATTTAATAATTTTTAGGTATGATTTTATTAGTAATATAATAATATTTAATTATTTTTTTAATAATATTAAAAATTATTAACAATGAATAATAAATTATTTTCATAAAATAGCATCCAATCGCTTTCTATAATATATATATATATATTTTTTAATTTTATTTTTTTAAATTATTTAATAATTTTTAGGTATGATTTTATTAGTAATATAATAATATTTAATCATTTTTTTAATAATATTAAAAATTATTAACAATGAATAATAAATTATTTTCATAAAATGGCATCCAATTGCTTTCTATAATATTTATTTTTTTGTAATTTTATTTTTTAAAATTATTTAATAATTTTTAGGTATGATTTTATTAGTAATATAATAATATTTAATTATTTTTTTAATTTAATAGTTATAAGTTTTCTTAAATAATTAATTTATGTATGTATCTTTCAATATTTTATATTTAGTATAAATAACTGTATAAGGCAATGTATGATTAACGTCGTCATGAACGGGAAACCGAAGCTGAAGCTGGTTCGATCGGACTCAATAAACCGCTAGTGGTACAAAATAAATCGGAAAAAACCGCTGGAACTGTTGAACCGGAACCGGTTATATGAACCCGGTCGGTCAACTACAAATACGGTTATTTTTAAAACCGAAAAAAAGAAACCCTAATTCCTAACTCTCTCTCTGGTAGCATTTTCTCTCTCCGCTGTGAACGACCAATATCTCTCCCTCACTAGAATCGTTTTTCGCCGTAAAACACCATTTTCATCCACCTCTCCCTCACTCGGTTAGTACTGTGTATTATGTTTCTCTTTGTAAAAATGTAGTATGTTTTATTTATGTATATATCATGTGAATTAGTGTAGCTTTATTTATGATTCAAATGCTTACTAGAGAACTGAAAAAGGTTAATTCTGGTGCAATTTCAGTTGATTTTGTCAGCAATATTTGAGATTAGTGCTAATTAATTTATTTTTAATTTTCTACTTAGGTAAAGTAAACAGCATTTAGGTTTCATAAATGGCATCACAGCAATAGAGCTGGTCTAGGGTTTGAATTTCGGTTCCGGATATTTTTTAGATTGGTCCGCAATTGCTGACAAAAAAGGAATGGAAGAGGCGGAAGATAACTTACCGATTGCTACATTATTTAATATCAAAAAGAAGAAGGCAAAGAAAGTGACTAAGGCAACGAAAGAGAGCAAAACTGTTGCTGTTGCTGATGATTCCATTACAGTGCGAAACAATGACGGTGGTGGGAGTAGTACCAGCGGTGATTCTAACATTAGGGTTTCTCTGTTTGATTTCTCTATTGAGAATTTCTTCCATGACATGGACACCATTGCCAAACTCTGTGGGGAAGAAGAACACAATGCTGCTGTTGAGGAAAGCGAGATCAAGAGATTGAGTTCTTCTGTCACTTTCTTAAGGTATGACTAGTAAAGAACAATTAATTGGTTCATGCGTTTTTTGTTAATCATTGGATGACTTAGTGGTTCCTACCATTATCGTTTTTGACTTAGTGGTTCCTACAGTTATTTCAATCCAATCCAGTTTTTAATTGAAGGACGACAAGAAAGTTAGTTTAAATTAAAATAAACTTTGAAATTGTTTGTTTTCATGAACTGAATTGGCTATATAGTTTTTAGAAGTTTCTAAACAACCCCTTAATTTTTGTTTTTGGTTGATCATTAAATATGCAGAGCATGGAGAGATTTTAAATATCCATCTAAAAACATTAGGTTTGCTTATGGACTTGGGACCTCTGAGTGTTATGAGAGAAACAATATCAAAGACATAAACTTACCTCAGTTTTCATCTGCCGCTGTTCCTAAGGTACAAGTCCTCCTATACTTAATTTTACTTTATTTGTTTGCCAGACATGTATGTTATAAAACACATTTTGGTTTTAAGTTCAAGTTATAACTTATAAATTATTAATAATTAGACTTTCTTGACATTATCATTGTGTGTTCTTTTCAGTATGATACGGAAAAGGAGGAACTAGGGGATGCAGAATCTCAAGAATGCAGGTATGGTTTAAATATTAACTTGTTTTGTTGTGGTATATTCAATGACATTTCCATGGAGTTTAAGTTTATGTTTGTACTTTGTCCTTGAACATACCGATAAATTAATTATTTTCTCACGGGTTATTGTTTAATTTGGCTAAACGCTTAAAATTTTGTTGGAGCAGAGACTTTGTGATGAATGTTGGAGGTTCTGTATGGGCATTAGATTGGTGTCCTAGGGTGCACGAGGAGTCCGATTGTTCAATTAAATGTGAGGTACATTGTTTTCTCTCTTCGTTTTAGACATGTATTGCTCATTTAATAATAGTGCTCGTTATTGTTTTATCCCTGCTTTGGGAATTCTTTAAAGTTTAAATGCAATATAAACAGTGCATTCTGTTTTTCTGATGGTTCTGAGTGTGATGTTTCACGTGTTGAGGGTGATTGCTTATTTGAAGTTCAGTGGTGTGGTAATGAGTGTAAGATCAGATGGAAGTTATTCTAATATTTACAGGTATAGAGGTCTAGAAAAACTATATTCCTAACTGTTAAAAGCCTTTAGATTGAAATGGTTTATCACTATAAATGATTAAGAGACGCTATAATGTTGTTTGATTCATGTAGCTATCCCCCGTCTATTGGGAAAAATCCTTTTTTTGCTGTTCTTGTTGTTCACATATTTTTGCCCGAGTAGAAAGCTAAATTTGTGCCAGTACTATGATGCACTTGTCACCGGTAGCTGTAAGAAGAGGAAAACCTTCCTCACTAATTTTCTTTATGCCAAATGTCAGATTCCATGGATTCAATTTAATAGTTGGGCACCACCATTTTAAATTGCCACCTGGCTTACCTAATTCTTTTGGTTAATTAATGTTGGAGATACTGGTAACATGGTGCAACAATTACACAGCAGCAAGTTCAACGAGTTTATTTTAAAATTCTTCAATGTTCTACATATTACCTACTCCATATGCATACCTATTTGATATACTTTTGTGGCTGCTTTCTTATTGTGTCTGCACCTATATTCAGATATGTAGTAAAATGCTGCACTTACCCTTGCTCCAGACTAGGAAGTAGTAAATAATTTTCATTTTCTTTGCAATTCTTGTACATTAAATGACCTTTTTATGATACTTGGTTTAGTTCATTGCTGTTGCGGCTCATCCACCTGGTTCGTCTTATCACAAAATGGGTGCCTCACTTAGTGGCAGAGGTGCTGTGCAAATATGGTGTCTTCTATATAATAAGGAACACAACAAAGAAGTATCTTCTCTCCCCATGAAGAAGGAAAAAAACCCTAAAAAAGACACATGCACAAATGACAAGTCGACAGAAATAAAGAAGCCTAGAGGAAGACCTAGAAAGAATCCTACTGAAAACAATGAAGAAATACATCCTATTATAAACAAGAGAAAAAGAGGAAGACCAAAAGAAAATCCAGCTCCAAATGGGAATCTTGAAAACAATGAAGAAATGTATGCTATTACAAACAAGAGAAAAAAAAGAAGACAGAAAAAAAATCCAGCTCCAAATGAGAATCTTGAAAACAATGAAGAAACGCATCCTATTACAAACAAGAAGAAAAAAGGAAGATCGAAAAAAAATCCAACTCTAATAGACATACCATCTGGTACTGTTCAATTTGAAGAAAATTCTATCGAGTCTCCTGCTCCAAATGGGAATAATGAAAACAATGAAGAAACACTTTATATTACATACAAGAGTAAAAAAGGGCCTAGAGGAAGTAAAACCTTGAAAAAAAAAGCTGCACCAATTAAGAGACCTAGAAGAAGACCTAAAAAGAATTCAAATGAAGTAACAACGAGTGATCCAAATTGTGAGAACCAATTTCTTCCTCTTGCTATTGAATTTCCAGATTCAGCCGAATTTATTTCTCCGGATGTAGTTCATGGCAATTCTGATGAAGATCATTCGCAACAGTTTTCTAACACAAAAGGAAAGAATGCCAAGAAAGTTGCTTCTGCATGCGATTCAGAAACTCCTGTTACAAGGAGTAGGTTGGATATTAATCACATGGAAAGAAGCTGTAGCCAAGATGCAAGTAGGCCATTATTGAATCAGTGTGAGGAGGAGGAAGACCATCAATCACATGGTAGCTCTGTATTGGAACCTCAAGCATCTACATGTCCCATTCCACAAAATGTAGCATTGCCGAAATTTGTGTCATGCCTGGCTCATAATGGAAAGGTGGCATGGGATGTCAAATGGCGGCCTCTTAACAATATTGATTCCTCATGCAACCATCGAATGGGCTATCTTGCTGTCTTGTTGGGCAATGGATCTATGGAAGTGTAAGATGTTGAGCCTCTTTCTCCATTCCCTATCGATCTTCTTTGTCATACTTGAATGGTTTATTTTTCTTTTTGTTGATTGTGTTTATATGTTGTTATGAACTATCACCGTTATTAGATTTGAGGTATTTGAAATTTGGAGATTTTAAGTAAATAGTGTTCTAATCATTATATTATATTAGCTGCGTGTCTGTATCTTAACGGCCTCTCCTAAAAAGTTGAACAAGACATAATGGACAAAAGACAACTACTTAAATAGAGACTTAGGATTGAGTTTTGGTATATTTTGAAATTTGAATAAATTGTGACTCAATCTATGGAGCATAAGAAGTGCTTTCTTAGGCCAATGCTTATCATAAAGTAAACCCAGGCCAGTGTTTAGGATAAATTACACTTAGAAGATTAAAATGTTGTTTATTAAGCTAGTTGCTCCTTGGTGTATTTCCGTTGTTATCCCGGTATGGTACCTAATCTGTATGTAAAGTCACATAGTTTCTTGTAAAAGGCTAAAACTGAAACAATATTGTACCAATTAGTAATTAAATAGTTGCAATAGTTATGGTCTGATCCTTTTCACGTAGATTCAGTAAGGCTTAATGTTCGTTATTGAAATGGTTGCAATGGTCAGTTCACTGTGGAAATAGTTGCAATAGTCAGAGTTCACTGTTTTTGTTTGTCCAATTCTGTGTTTTTTATTCTTATCTACACAAAATGAAAGCATTTAGCCACAGATAATTGGCTGCAGTAACCTACAATGGCACCTCAAGTGACAGATTGCAATGATTTTTTCATCAAAAGAAATCCCTATAAGTTCCAAAGACCCAACTCCCTCAGTGAAAGATACTCCTTTGTCAAACAATCCAAAATAAGATCTCACCCCCCTTTGCTCCCCCACCTAGAACTATGATAATTGATAAGCACCCAAGCAGTTTGAAAATTCTCCTTTAGAAACTATTTATTAAGAGGAGAGCTACTTAAGCATTGCACCTAGCTATGTTGCCAATAGTGCGCTATAGCAGAATAACGTACCTGTGGTAGGGTTGGGCGCGACACTTTTGTCCTGTGAGCCGCTGTCTGCAATAGCAGTTGCAGAGGCCACTAATTCCGGCGAAACTGTGGCCCTAAACCATTATTGCGTCTGCTAATAGGATTTCAGAGATTCATTCCTCAAACCGTTTGCAGCCGTTGTCTTTTTTTAAGGGTATAAATTTAAATATGAACCCTTTTACACTGGTTTTTTGTCTTTCCATTAGTGGCTATCCTGCAACGCTGTATGAGATTAACAACATATTAGCCACCTAGCATCTCATACTATTCGACTGGTACATAGGCACCCCATAATCCTGAAGTCCCTATCATAGCACTGCCATTGCCATTGATAATTGTTAAAAGAAGTTCATTAAAATTTCAGTGTTTGGTTTTTCTCAACAAAAGCAAGTTGTTTTATAACTAACTGTGACTTTGAGTAGCATTATGACTTGGATGGCTTTTGATGTTGCTTCATAATTCTTGTATCAATTACAGGTGGGAGGTTCCCCTTCCTCATGCACTGAGAGCAATTTATATGCAAAACGAAGGCACCGATCCACGTTTTCTAAGATTGGCGCCTGTATTCAAATGCTCAATGTTGAAGCGTGGTAGCTTACAAAGGTATTTTTTCTCCTTCATTTTAACTATGGTGAGCGTTAAACCCATCTATATTAAAATGGTCAAAACGAAATTTGAATTTTGTTAATTTTAAACCTCAACAAACATTGACATGCACTCATCTATAATTTTTTTATGAAGAATTCATATTTTCAGAATACAATTTGTATATAGTATCAAATCTTAAATTAATGGTGACAATGGGACTCAAATTTGCATTCTGTCCGAGTATTTGTGAAATTATTTATTTGTTTTTCTGGTAGAAATATTTGGATGTTTGTATTCAAGTAAAAAAGTCTACTTGCCTAATTCATTTAAACCCTTTGTTAAGAGTCCCACTCGGACAATATATGTGCTTTTAAGTGGGGGGCAATCCTCGCCCTCCAAGCCGGTTTTGTAGGATTGAGTTAGGTCCAGCCCACACATTATAATATGGTATCAGAGCCTATCGATTGAACCTTGGGCCCTCCACCATTTAAAAACCCACGCACCAAGCCCAAAGAGTGGTGGGCGTGAGGGGGTGTATTGGAAAGATTCCAAGTCCCACATTGGTTGGAGATAGAGCATTGGAAGAGTTTATATAGAGTGACACTCCTCACTTTACAAACCAGTTTTATAAGGATGAGTTAAGTCAAACTCTAATACCTTTATTTAGAGTGTTGCATTAGAGAAGTTCTATATAGAATACTCAAATTTTGCTGCTTACTGAAAAAAAAATCTTTATGGAAAAGGCGCTTTGCAAGAATGTTAATTTTATGTAATGTTATTGATTTATAGCTCTTGAGTAAAATAAGAATTAAATGTTAAATTGTCATCAATTGTGCATTTCAAGAACTGTGTGCTGCAATTGATTACTAAAGGAAGTGTTAGTTAGAGGGCTCCATTTGAAGGGAAGATATTAGAGTACAATGTTATTTTATGTAATGTTATTGATTTATAGCTCTCGAGTAAAATAAGAGTTAAATGTTAAATTGTCAACAATTGTGCATTTCAAGAACTGTGTGCTGCAATTGATTAGTAAAGGAAGTGTTAGTTAGAGGGCTCCATTTGAAGGGAAGATATTAGAGTACAGTAAAGTTAGTAAAATAGAGTTAGTTAGAAAGAGTTTGTCAGACTATAACAAACTATCTGTGCTGAGCTGGCACAACAATATCTCTATAAATACTGTGCGATGTAACGAGATCATTCAATTCAGTTGCATTCAATCTAACTGATTTCATTCTATTCTCTCAATTATGCTTCTTTTATCTTTTCCTAATATTATTTAAACTTTCAGCTTAAGAAAACTTGTATAACCCTCTGCCCTTCATTAATTCTGGAAAATGTTAAAAATCATAATCACTTAAAGAAGATGGCTCGTTGGAGTAGAGTTATTGACATGTTAGCTTATGGTGGTTAAATTCACGCAACTGCAACATGTGTTGTACGCAATGCTTTTTAATATGTTTTTGGCAAAATACCTTTTTTGGTTCCTAATATATACCTCGGGATCCATTATGGTCCATTATCTTTAAAAAGTTCCAAAGTGGTCATTTAATTGTTCAAAAAGGTCCACGTTAGTCCTTTCCGTCCAGCTTACAAGTAATATTTTATCTTTAAGGTCATTAATATTTTGAAAAAAAAAACATTTCAAAATTTTTGATTTAGCCTGGATTCAAACTCAGGCCATCTAGCTTACAAGTAATAGGAAATTACCACTACACCACTTCACAATTGATGTTTATTATTTTAAATCAGTTTTACTAATCATATAACATGAAAATCCATAAAGGTTAGAAAGCTAAATTTATTGATTTCAAGGTTTTAAAGCACTTTACCACTTCTAGTATATATTTGAAATTACATTTCAAATTTCAGCAATTAAGAAACATGAAATCTCACCTTAGCAGAGCGTCTTGACGTTGATGCTCCACATCTCGATGAACCTTGCTTTGTTATTTGCTTGCGCTTTTTTCCTTTAACTGACTGATAATAAGGAAAATATAAATAGTTGCACCAGAAACACTCATCTTGTCTTAAACCAACAAACCTTCCTTGTATTTGCCTTTGCAACTTGTATGTCAAGCACATCGCAGATATCCAACAACTTCTCTTTATTACACTTGTCAAATCTTTCTTTTACTTTAATCATTTGCTTTTCCTGCAGTAATAATATTTGGTTTTAGAAGCTTTGGCATAAAAGCAAGCATTCATTTTGTTATATATGACTTGATTGCAAGTTACTAGCATACCTCATTTTCATACCACACAAAACCAGAAAATCTTGATATGTTTTTCTTAACCTCAGCTGCCTGCGAAGTTCACAATAAAACATTAGTTAGATAGAAGCACAATAACATTTGTTTGCCTGTTAATTTTACTATTCCAGGTAAGTGTAGCCTTTTAATCGTGTAAGAATAAACTTTGCTATATCATATGTTAACAGAAAACTAGTGGTGAAAAATAACAGTTATGAAAAACTTCGATTTTTTGTGAAGTAGGATATACCTTTCCTCTCCTACAAAAGAGGATAGTGGTGAAATGGTGTAGTGGTAGTTTGCTATTACTTGTAAACTAGATGACCTGAGTTCGAATTCAGGCTAAATCAAAATTTTTGGAATGCTTTTTCAAAACATTAATGACCTTAAAGATGAATGTGTGCCAAATCACGTGCCACACCTACAAACATGTGCCATGTTAGATGCTACTCAAGCAAAAGTTGACGCCATTTGAAAAAAATGGACGGAAAGGACTAACATGGACCTTTTTGAACAAATAAAGGACCACTTTAGAACTTTTTAAAGACAAGGGACCAGAATGGACTCCGAGGTATTTTGCCTATATTTTTTCTAGACTGGCTATGTTGTTTAACTTACTCCGTACTTTTGTTTCACAGCATTCCTTTGACAGTGGAGTGGTCGGTTACGCCCCCTCATGATTATTTAGTTGCTGGCTGCCATGATGGAACGGTATAATTTTCCCCAATGCTATCTGATTTATGTCTTCTTTGCGTTTCTAAAATAAAGCTTTAGTCAGAGAGATACCTCTAAATAAAAAAATTTCCTTAAGAGGTGATATAAATGGTTATGCGTGTAGGCATCCAATGGGTATCGTGGTGTAAAATGTCAATGGAGGTATGTAGGGAAGTAAGTAAAGAGGGCCAGATGGCCGTCTTTGATTTTTCTATAGCTTTTTCGTTTTACTATAGCTGACACTTATTTTAGAGAGGAACATCTTATCTTATACTATACAAAAGCAGAGTGGTCAAAGAGCTATAGGGAAAGAAAAGCAAGAGAATTGAATTACGTGAGGTGCTTTAAAGGTGATGAGTGAAAAAGTAACGGTCAAGGAACAAGACATCGAGAAAAGGTGGAAAAGTTATTCCGTATCTTTTTAATGAAGGACATGATATTTGTTGGGACTCAGATAGACTAAAAGGTAGGGAAGTGGATCAAGATTACTCCTACAATCCTACTACTAATTAATTTGAGAATCTGAAGTAGAAGAAGCACTGTACAGCATTAGGTGAGGTGCATTCGCCATGTCTGTGTAGCTGTTTTGTTAAACAGAACAGATTAGGTTAGCGATTTAACAAACTCTATGCTGAGTTTGCATAACTGTTAGCGATTTAACAAACTCTATGCTATATATAGTGTTATCCTAGCCTTCACAACGTAATAATCATTTTCTGATCAATCATCACAGAATTCTCTCTTCCTGTCTCTGTTCTGGAATATTCTAAATGCTGAATTCATCATTCTCTCTACCTTCTAATATATAGAATAACAGCGAGGCAATTTGACTGGATTATGTTCCTATTGGCGTATGGAATGATCTAAGAGAGAAAGGAAAAAGATGGCTCACAAAGTTGTTTAAACAAGATTATGAGATATAAGGACATGTTGAATGAATGGAGAAGTACAAAACATAGGTGACTTGTTAATCCTTACAAGTAATAGAGGGATTAGGCCCTTGAATCATATTATGAAGCTTTAGGGAGAGATGCGTTGGCTAAATTGGGGTTAAAACATGGACCAGGATTGGATCTTTATGATGCCGTGCAGAGCTAAGTTCAATCTTTTTTTTTCTTCTGATCTTATAGGAGCTTCGTATCCGCGGGTCATTAAGCGGTAGTTTTTGTTGTTTTTTGGGCTGTTTGCCCTCTTGTATCTCTAAAAAAAAGACAAGACACATTAGTAGGCCATGGAAGTTTTATACTTGCTAAGAAAACTGGTGGAGAGGCATTCGGGGAATAAAAAAGATCTATATAGGGTTTTCATTGATTTGAAAAAGGCATATGATACTGTGTACTTAGGTTTTGTGGAAAAACTAGCGAAGAAAGGAACTCAAATTGTTTTACCTTTGATAAATCAAAGATATGCTTAAGAAGGTGACGCAGTCGGAAGCCCTAAGGATTAGCAAGCGCTAAACTTAGAATAAAAACACAGTTGCAAGTGTTAAATCTGTCAGATAAGTTCTGGAATCAACCAGAAAGAAAAAGGAACTCTAATTTTATTATAATGAAAGATAACCCTTATGGTCATGTCCAAAGTCTTTAAATACATAAAGCAAAATAATCTTAATGGACCTTATGGGCCTTTTTTGGAAATAAAAAAAGAAATTGTATGTTTCCCATTAAAATGAACATTTGAGTTTTAGGTTCATGTATATTTAGATTCATGCATTTAGGGAGTTGGACTATTATTTGTTTCTCCTTGTAAACATAATATGTAATTAATTATATATTGTGTATAAATATCAAGGTTGCTGAGTGCTTTACTAACTCAACCACATTCATAAAATTTCTTATTCCTATTTTTCACATGGCATCAGAGCTCCTAATCTAGGGGACTCTACTTCCGCTAATCATTCTTTAGAAATTTGACTGAGCATTTTTATGCTGTCAGAACACTTCAATCTTGAGTGGGCAACACTTGCTGTCAGTTTTTTCCAATTAAACGCTATCTATACTTTTCTGGTAGCTGTCCGTACAGTTTTCTGCAGTCGTCGGTACCGCTCTGCACATTTTTCAGTCGCTGCCTGCACAGTTTCAGCCGCTTTATGCACAGTTCCAGCCGCTGTCCCTATATTTTCTGGGTTGATTTCTTCATCGAATCTTGTTTTCTTTGGTATCTTATACATAAACATTTGGTTGTTGCTCCTTCATAATCATTAGTATGGAAAAGTCATCAGATAATTGCAGTGTAGCGTATTCTAGTAAGTTTTCACTCTCATTTGGATTTCATGTCTCAGAAACACCTTGTTTATTTTGGATATTAGATTCAGGAGCCAGACCACATGACACCTTCTTCGAAACAATTCTCCATATATTCCCCTTGTCCCAGAATAAAAAAGATTTCTACTGCAGATGGTACTCTTGTAACTATAACGCGCATTGGAGATATCCAAATGAATCATTCTATAACCCTAAAAAGGGTACTCCATGTTCTAAAACTATCCATGAACCTTGTCTCCATACAAAAACTTACAAATGATTTATCCTGTAGTGTTATTTTTCATAATGATTTGTTGTATATTTCAAGATAAGGAGTCGGGAAACACGATTGAACGTGCTAGAGAAAAGAATGACCTTTACTATCCTGATGAATCAGATCAGTGTATAAAATGTCACTTGTCCCACTCATTTATGTCAGAGTCAATATTCTCTAAAAAGAAAAAAAAGAATCTTTTTCATTGTCGATTAGGTCATCCTTCTTTTGGGGTCATTAAAGTTTTGTTTTCATCTTATTTCAATAAGGTAGATATTGAAAGTCTTCATTGTGATGTGTGTGAGTTTGCTAAACATAAGCGTTCACCTTTTTCATTAAACAGCAAAAGAAGCCTTTCCCCCTTCTATCTTATTCATTCAGATGTTTGGGGTCCTTCAACCAATCCAAATGTAACAAGTGCTAGGTGGTTTGTTACTTTTATAGACGATTGTACCCGGGTTACTTGGGTGTTTTTACTACAAAACAAGTCTGACGTCAGTACTGTTTTTCCAAAGTTTTTCTACATGATTAAAAATCAATTTGGAGTAAACATCAAAAGGCTAAGTCTGATAATGGAAAAGAGTACTTCAATCATGTTCTTCTTTCTGCCAAAAAGAGGGAATTGTCCATGAGTCTTCTTGTGTTAAAACACCACAGCAAAATGAAATTGTAAAAAGGAAAAATGGGCATCTATTAGACCAAACCCGAGCACTATTGTTTCATCAAAATGTTCCAAAATATTTATGGAGGGAGGTTGTTCTCACTAGTACATATCTTATTAATCGATTACCCTTTAGAGTATTAGGGTTCAAGAGACCTATGGATGTTCTTTCTTCTTTCTATCCAAATTTGTTAGTAAGTAGTAATGTTAAACCTAGAATCTTTGGGTGTGTCTCATTTGTCCATGTGCATAGTCAAGACAGAAAAAAACTCGACCCTAGAGCTCTAAGACGTGTTTTTGTCGGGTATTCCTCTACTCAAAAGGGATATAAATGTTTCCATCCTCCATCTAAAAAGTTTTTCGTGTCGCGGGATGTTACCTTTCATGAGGAGGAACCATACTTCACTCAACCTTATCTTCAGGGGGAGAATTTTAAGGAAGATAAGCTTGAAAATCTCGATCTTTCTGGTCTTGAGTCAAATACACTCAATCTGTCTAGTATTAAGTCAAATACATCTGGTCATTCTAGTCATTAGTCAAATACACTCAATCTCTCTGGTCTCGAGTCAAATCCACCTACCTCTTCCAGTTTAGAGTCAAATAGACCAAATCTTTCTGGTCCTGAGTTAAACACACTTGTACCAGACCCATCTGTGACTGAAGAACTAGGAGTTGAGTCAAATCAATTAAATATACCACTTGCTGAACTTGGACCTGAAGTGGATGTAAGATATAGAATGAATCTGGTTTACATGAGAAAGTCAAAGGCCATTCCTGCATCGACACAAGTTCAAGAGTCTAACTCAACTCCTTCGAATGAGGTAATTAATTCTTCTGAATTACAAGATAAAATGATGACCCAAACAATAGATGATGACCCAGACCTTCCAATTGCTATTAGAAAAGGTACCGAAAATGCACGAAACAACCTTTATATCCCCTTTCAAACTATCTTTCTTTAAAAAAATTCTTACCTACCCATAGAGCCTTCCTTACAAACCTAAATGCTACTTCCATACCTACTAATGTTTCTGAGGCATTGTCTGATGAAAAATGGAAGCAAACCATGAATATCGAAATGGACGCATTGAAGAAGAATGAAACTTGGGAGTTAGTGACTTTACCAGAAGGAAAGAGGCCGGTTGGATGCAAATGGGTGTACACAGTTATATATAGGACTGATGGATCAATTGAAAGATATAAAGTCAGGTTGGTTGCCAAAGGGTTACACAAACCTATGGAATTGACTATTCAAAGACATTTGCTCCGGTTGCGAAGATGAATACAGTGAGAATAATTGTCACTTGCTGCCAATATTATGGTTGGGATTTACAACAATTTGATGTGAAGAATGCCTTCTTACATGGGAAACTTGAAGAGGAGATTTATATGCAGGTACCACCGGGGTATGAAAAAAATGTGTCTGACAATACAGTTTGCAGGTTGAAAAAGGCGTTATATGGACAAAAACAATCACCTCGAGCATGATTTGGAAGATTCACTAAGGTTATGACATCTTTGGGGTACAAGCAAAGTCAAGGAGATCACACCTTGTTCATCAAACACTCGCCACAAGGGGGAGTAACAGTTCTGTTAGTATACGTGGATGACATTATAATGACATGAGATGATTGGAAGGAGCAACAAATCTTGAGTCAGTGTTTGGCTAAGGAGTTTGAAATGAAAACTCTTGGAAAGCTGAAGTACTTCTTGGGAACGAGGTGGCACATTCCCAAAAAGGAATTTTTATATCTCAACAAAAATACATTACAGATTTACTCATAGATACAGAAAAAACAGCGTGTAAACCTGCGAGTGTTCCTTTGGATGCAAATCTTAAACTGTGTAATACAGAAGATATTGCAATAGATAAAGAAATGTATCAACGTCTAGTAGGGGTGTTCAAATCCAAACCAATCCAAATAAAAAACCGAAAACTGATCCAAAAAACCGAAAACCGCAAAAAACTGAAATTTATTGGATGTGTTTGGATGTCATTTTGTGAAAACCGATCGGTTCGGATTTCGGATTAGTTTTTCAAAACCGATCCAAACCAAATCGAACCGCATAGATATATTTTTATACTTATTTACTTTTTATCAGTATGATATGTTACGTGAATTTATTATTAGATGATAATAACTTTTTTAATAATAGTTATTAGCTTGGTATAATCTATTTATTTTTATTATTTCAATTATAATCGACCACTCTCATTTTGTAATATTAACTTTTAATATACTATATGTAATATATTATATCAAATCTATGATTTATTAGTAGTTTTATAATATTAATAAAAATATAATGTGTAATTTGGATATCCAAAACCCGATCCAAATTAAACCGCATAAAATTGGATTGGATTGGATTTTTTTAATATATCATCCAAAACCGAACTGAACCGTAAGTAAATTTATCTTTGGATCGGATGAGTTTTTGTCTTAAAACCGATCCAAACCGAACCGCGAACACCCCTAACGTCTAGTTAGGAGATTAATTTACTTGTCTCACACTAGACCCGATATTGCATATGCTGTAAGTATGGTTTGTCAGTTCATGCACTGTCCTAAAGAAAATCATTTACAAGCAGTTCATAGAATCCTACAGTAACTTAAGGGAACTCTAGGAAAAGGAATTTTGTTCAAAAGAAATGGAAATACAACCCTTGAGGCCTACACTGATGCAGATTATGCATGTTCAATTATTGATAGAAGATCCACTACAGGGTACTGCACCTTGGAGGAAATCTTTGACTTGGAGAAGTAAGAAGCAAAATGTAGTAGCCCGTTCTAGTGCAAAAGCTGAATTTCGAGCCATGGCACAAGGCATTTGTGAATTACTTTGGCTCAAAATTATTTTAGAAGATTTGAAAATCAAATGGGAAGGACCCATGAAGCTCTACGGTGATAATAAGTCAGCTATAGTATAGCACATAATCCAATTCAACATGATTGAACTAAGCATATAGAGGTTGATAGACACTTCATTAAAGAGAAGCTTGATAGTGGGCTGATTTGCACCCCATATGTGCCCTCACAAGGGCAACTTGTAGATATTCTCACTAAAGGATTGAGTAGCACTAATTTTGAACGAATTGTATCCAAGCTGGGAATGGAGAATACTTATTCACCAACTTGAGGGGAAGTGTTGGAAATAGGAAAATAAATTGTATGTTTCCCACTAAAATGAGCATTTAAATCTTAGGTTCATATATATTTAGATTTATGCATTTAGGGAGTTAGACTATTATTTATTTCTTCTTGTAAACATAATATGTAATTAATTATATAATGTGTATAAATATCAAGGTTGCTGAGTGCTTTACTCACTCAAACCACATTCAGAAAATTTCTTATTCCTATTTTTCATAGCCTTTAATCCAAAACAAAATTAAATAAATAAAACAAATAAAATATAAATTGTTAAAATTGTAGAAAATAGTAAAACGCTATTTTCGGGTCTGAAACGAACTCAAATGACTTAAAAATCCATATGTCATTGCATAGCAGTGAGTTGGACTTCTGGGCCGATTCCCTTTTCGAAAAGGTATAATACGAGTAATTTTGACATCGAACGCTAAACTTGCGCAAATCCTATCGAATTGTTTTGACGCGTACTTTCCCTTCGATATGCGTAGGCAGCCCTCCTACATCCGAAGGCATATGCAATAGATTTCTTTTCTTTGGATGATATAATCTTAGTTACGGAGCAAGGGAAGAAATAAATGGAAAATTTGAGGTGTGGAGTTGCAATTTGGAAAATATGTAATAACTTAAGTCTCATGCCTTACGTACTTTGAATCCACCATACAAAATAATAGGCAGTAATCCACCATAGAATCCATGTAAGGTGGATGTCATCATTGAATTATTTGTATGGATTGGATGTTAGGATGTGAAAGCAGAAAGAAAATAAACTCAATGTTGTAGAGTCATAAGAACATTACAAAAGATGGGCAGTTACAAATTAGATATAGGATTTGAAATACAACCATTAAATTAGGAAGAAATGGAGGTCTCAATTATATAACTCATGAGATAGAATATGGAGGATAGCTCAAGAAATAGTGAAAGTTCAAAACAAACTATAGAAATAGTGAAAGTTCAAAACAAACTATAGGTCAATCAATTAAGAGAGGATTGGTGATAGTGGTATATCTTTGAACTCAATACCTGACAGAAGGGGTGGCAAACGGGCATGCCCGCCTCGTTTAAATCCGTCCCGCAAAAGCCCGCAAAAAAACGGGGCGGAGTGTGCATAGTTGAGGATGAGGGCCTAAAACCTAGGTCCGCCCCGCAAAAAAGTGAGTGCGGGGCGGGGAAAGCCCGCGGGTACTGCACCTTTTAGGTCTAAAAATGTAAAATTTTATGCTAATAATCATGTCTGCAAAAGTCCACGAAGAAAACGGGGCGGGGCGGGACGGTTACATTAGAGAGTGAGGGCCTAAATTCTTAGTCCGCTCTGCACTAAAGTGCGGGTAAAACGGACATGTCCAACAGATCGGGCCATTTTTGCCACCCCTACCTGACAATAGATTATGGTGTCAAGGAATCCACGAAGCTGACCCCCTTAGAGATGTTGGTTGGTCCCCTTTGCTGTTGGTTAGTCCCCTTAGCTGTGTTGTTTAGTCAGGTAATATTTGTTCATGATATTTTATATGAAGGAAAAGAGTGAAAGCATTATATTTATTTTCTGTGTTTTATCTTTTTTCTTACACCGTCATGTAATAGTTCTATATCTTAAATCTGTTATGGTTTTCAGTATTATTATTCTTAAACAACATATGTTGTTACTAATAGAATATATATATATTTTTTATATTTAGGTTGCTCTATGGAAATTCTCTACAAATTCTTCATCTAAATGCGTTGGTAATAATTTTGCTACTTAATGTGTTCTGATGTTTTCCTAGCTGGGGCTGCTAGGGAAGGGGGCTGTGCTGAAATATATTTACACTCTCCGGACACATTTATAAGCAACAAAAATGCTTCAATTCTTGATCATTATTATAAGCAAAAGTCAATTATTACTAAATCATTTAATGTTGTAATTTCTAATATACCGCTCTATTTCATTTTCCAACATTCCATTAAATTTAATAAAGAGGACATTATAATAAATTTAATTAATGTTTTCACCAAAATCTAAAAAGTTAACTACACTTGATTGAATTTCTTAATAACCGTGAAAATTATTTTTGTTGCTTATAAATGTGTCCGGAGGGTGTAATACATATGAATCAATAATTGTTGTCTATTGACTCGGTTGTTTATCTGCAGATACAAGGCCTATACTTTGTTTCGGTGGGGATACAGTTCCTATTAGAACAGTTGCATGGGCTCCTTTTGAAGGGTTAGTAATACTTAAACCTTCTCAGCCACAACTGATGTGATTGATTGTGATAGAAACTGGTAAATCATAGCTAGGAAACTGAGTTGAATACTGACGTTTACTGAATAATTCTGGTAAAAACAGTGGCCAGAATTTAATTTTAAAGGAAGACCTGGTTTATTTAATTACAAGAGATAAACTAAAGGAAAATCAAGGATAGATACAGCAGTTTCCTCCAAGAAACTCAAGAGTCTCCGTCCCCCCTTCCAAGAATTAGAGAGACTCCAGTCTCTCGATCCCACGACCCCTCAATGACTACCTAATAATTACTTTTCCCTCTCCTCTATTTATTCCTAAAGGCAGACAACATAACTGACAGCTAATACCAATAAAAACAATAACTAACTATTAAGATGAGGTTGGGCTTAATTCAACCCTACAAAACCGACTTGTAGGGTGAGGATTGCCCCCACTTATAAGCACATGTTGAAGCCATATATTATCCGATGCGAGACTCTTAACACCCCCCTCACGCCCAGGACTAGACAACTGGAGCGTGGAAATAAATGGTGGGTGGTCCACTGGATCTTAAACGAGGCTCTGATAACATATTAAAATGTGGCTGGGTTTAATTCAACCCTACAAAACCGGTTTGTAGGATGAAAATTGCTCCCACTTATAAACACATGTTCAGGTCATATATTGTTCTATGTGAGACTCTTAACACTAACCATACAAATAAGAACATTACCAACCATTACTGCTATAATTTATTTCTGCTTGCCCCTCTTATATTCTTCTCTAATAAGAGGTCTAACAATACTTCTAACAATATGTTGCTGTTATTGTTCATCTTTAAGAATGAAATTTAATGTATCTATATAAAGAAATATTCTGTACATATATGTATATGATTTTCACTGATGTATTCATTCTCATCAAATTTATTCGTTAATAAAAAGGACTCTAATTGATACTGCAGCTAAAACTTACTCTAATCAAGTCCTCAGATAAATCATTTAACTTATTTCTTTATAATGTGTATGTGTGCTTTTGAAATCATTCTGGAGATTATTTATTAGGCTAGGCGGTGGATATCAACTCTAGCTTCCTTATAGAAATGATAAAACTAGCATCATTTGTGTTGAAACATGGTTTGCAAGGCTGTAATTTTTTTTTCCCATTGTGTAGTCACCATTACTTTTATGAAGATTACTTCAATAAGCAAAACATTGACATATTGCACAGACAAATATCTTACATCTAAAATAAGCTATGTTTACATCCTTTGACCATCCTCTTGCCTTTTGAAGTGTCTAACAGGATGCATTTTTTGTTACGATGTTTCAGTGATCCAGAGAGTTCTAATATAATAGTAACTGCAGGACACGAAGGCCTTAAGTTTTGGGACCTACGGTGAGTTTTTACTTATTTATTTATTTCCTTTTGAAAAAAATAAATCTAATGGCTATGCTGCATTCGATCTTTATTAGAGTATAATTTTTTTCTTCTTTTCTTGACTTGCGAATACCAATATAAGCATAACTGTCTTTTTAAATACTGTATCCTTGTGGATTTACTCTTTAGTTCATTTGCATTCTAAATGTCTGCATTGCGAAATAAGTCAACTAGAGAGTCAACATTTCTTTGTATTAGCCACATGTGCATGTCTTTGTTAGCTTTTCTGTCTCCTCGATTAGAAATGACAACTATTATAGTCTATTGATTTATATTTGTTCCTTCCGCCTTAGTATCCGTTAAACTTTTTGCAATGACTTGTATTATGATGGAAATTTATTTGCAGTAATCCCTTTCGTCCTCTGAGGCTCCTCAATCCTTCCCAGAGAATCATATACAGTCTGGATTGGCTGTCAAAGCCAAGGTAATCCATAATTTTTACTGGATCGAATGATGCTTGAGCTCATCATCATTATAGTTAAGTTAACTCATTTATATTTTTTGCTTTTGTAGTTGTATCATTATGTGCTTTGAGGATGGAACAATGAAAACCATTAGCTTGCCAAAGTCTGCAAATGACCTCCCTGTCACTGGAACGATATACAATGGAAAAAGACAACCAGGGCTGCATGGTTCTATATATTCATCTTATGCCATTTGGAGTGTTCAAGTGTCACCGATAACAGGTACCTTTTTTGGTATGCATTTCTTCTGTGATGTTATCACAATGGATCGTGTTGGTTTTAGACAAAAACTGGGTTTAGAAAAACCTGCGTTATGAAAATACCATATGAAGTAAAAGTATCTGTTAGTTAATAAAATGTTGTGATTTATTCCATCATGTCAGGCATGGTTGCATTTTGTGGAGCAGATGGTACTGCCTTTCGTTTTCAGGTAATAGTAACACATAGTTGAAGATATACTTGCAATTACCAGCATCTCTTCTGACATGGTATTATAACTTTACATGACCAAAATAGTCAAGATTTCAATCCTTGCATACCACTGTTTTAAGTTGAACTACACATTTTTTTTACATGAATTAAGAAATACAAAATGACGGTGTGAGCCTTTTAAAGAAATAAGGTACGTAACTTATGACAGTTCGATCGCTTGACGGATACCCTAGTGTTTTTTTATAACTGTGAGTCCAAAATATTTTACCTTGGTTAAGGAACACAAATTTGAGAGTATTCCAATTTGCATTTAGTTGGCACATATATTGCTCAAATTTGTAGCTGTAACATAATCCTCTATTAATGCTTATACACATAAATATTCTCCACTGCCCCAAAATAATTATTAATGAGTATATTTAATGTACCCAGCTTACTGCTAAAGCAGTGGATACCGAACATTCTCGCAATCGAACTACATTCTTTCTATGTGGGTCGGTTTCTGAAGAGGAATCAACCATCATTATCAACACTCAAGTATCAAGCTCTCCTTTCCCAATAAAGGTGCAAGATAGAGGCCATCAGGCTCAATCTTTTCGAGACTTATTATCAAAGGCAAATTTGAGCAGAAGTGCAAATAATCAATTGACTAAAGCTTCTAGTAACGATTCTCGGATTTTAGGTAAACCTTACTAATTATGATGTGATTCTACTAGTATGGTTAGCTGTCATTGATTTTCTGAGAATATTCATTATTCATCAAGCCTTCAATTTGTTGCAGCCCTTGCTGATTGTGACTATCCGGAACAACAGCCCAAAAGACCAAAACTGAGTTGTAGCAGAAAGAAGAAACCAAATGAAAGCACATCTCTTATTACTAGAGATGGGAATGCACCTAGAGTTGATAATGAAAAGCTGGATTCTGGGAATATACCTGAAGTGTTTCCTTCCAAAATGACAGCATTACATAAAGTGAGATGGAACTTGAACAAGGGTAGTGAGAAATGGTTGTGCTTTGGAGGAGCTAATGGACTTGTACGTTGTCAGGAAGTTGTTTTCAATGATATTGATAAGAAAAAGGCCTTGAAAAGATTTTAGTATTTTATACACGTCAAATTTTAGGTCTCGACTTTAAATATGTAACTAAGAAATAATCAGAGTCAAGTGACTTTGTCAATATGTAAAATTTCAATTTATAATTTAGTTATAGGTATTATTATTATTGATAATTTCTCTTTTTATCCTATAGTGAAAAGAAAAATCTTAAGAAATTTCTAAAATGCCCATGAAATCGGAAATATATTTCCGGTGCGCATCACACACCACACACAAACAGATCAAATGTAGTTCTATCCTATTCAAAAGGTAAAACAAAATCGGAATTGTAGTTTTGGAATTTTATGCCAATTTGTCCATTTTATATATTATCGAAAATATATTTTCAGTATTATAAAAAGTGTATATTACTTTAACCGTTGAAGGATGATCAACCTCATTTCTTCATCTTTCCATAAATCTTCTAAAAAAACCTTTCATTCCCAATTCATTTTTCTATTTCAAATCTTCATTTTTGTGGTTCATTATATCAAAAAGAGTTCAAGGTAGTGCAATTTAAGATAAAGTTTATTAATTTCAATCTTTATTCATCACATTAATTTGATATTTTTCTTGAAAAAAGTTACGTTAATACTAAAATTTTATTTTTGGTTAGTAGTTGACCTAAATTGGAAATGTATTTTTGATTCCTGGAAGTGCTTAATTTTTCAGCAACTGTGTATTAATTAGTTTAATTTTTGTTATCACATTAGAATGGTGCATTCAGATAACACTCACAAATCTAATGTGTCTCAAGTTGTTTCATCTCTCGTATCTATTCTCGTAACTAACGTGGTAGATATTCGTGACCATTTTGAAATCGAAGAAGAGTTTGAATTACGTGAAGACATGTTGTAGTGAATTCGTATAGAGGCCACCAAATTAGGGGTTGGTGTTGTGATTGTAAGGTCCGATAATAGTACAAATAGAAGATGAGAAATATGTGTCAAACCCAGAATTTGAAACACGACGACACCAGTTCAAGGAAATGTGAATTTAAGTTGCGTGATTATCTGTTGGCAAATAAGAAATGGTGATTTAATGTGATATGTGGTTTACACAATCATGATTTAAGTATAGCTGGTCATTTAATTGCACGTCGGCTCCTTTCAGATGAGAAGACATGTGTTTTCAACATAACATTGAATTTGGTATCGCCCAAAAACATACTTGCAACCTTTAAGCGCAAAAGACTCGGGAATACATCAAATATCAAGCAAGTGTACAATATGCACTATTTATCCAAATTAACGCTTAGGGGAGATCGAACCGAAATGCAACACCTCTTGAAAATTTTAGATGAAAACAATTACTCCTTCCGTCCCAAAATATAAGATAAAAAAAGCATTTTTCTTGTCTCAAAATATAAGAGAAAAAATCAACTTTCATCTTTTTCAAGGTAAAGTTAAATACAAATTACATTTAGTTTACATTCTCTCTCATCTTTTCTATAACCAACAACCAATTAGAATTGTTTTTGCATCTTTTTAAGCACTTTATTTCAAAAAAATCACAAGTCAAATGATTATGTTTTTACTTTTCTTAATAAGTGTGATTTTATTTTTTCTATCTTATATGTTGGGACGGAGGGAGTATGCTTGTAGGCACCGAAGATGTGAGGATGAGGTAACAGTAAGAGATATTTATTAGACTCATTCTGATTCTGTTAAATTGTTCAATACGTTTTTCACCGTACTCATAATTGATTCCACGTATAAGACCAACGAGTACAAGCTTCAATTGTTGGAAATTATTGGTATTACGTCGATTGAAAAGATGTATTCAATTGGTTTTTCATTTCTAGAGTGCGAAAAAAGGATAATTTTGCATGGGCTTTAGAGGTTTGTCGGTCAATGTTGAAGGACCAAGAAGATATGTAAAAAACGATTGTTACTTACCGAGATACAACATTAATGAATTCTATTGCAACGATATTTCCTACTTCTTATGCACTACTTTATAGGTATCACATTACTAAAAATGTGAGAAGTCGGGTTAAACCCGCAGTAGAGACAAAACATATTGTAGGTGAAAATGGAAAACTGGTCAAGGTGAACGTTATTGTGGAGAAAATTATGGATGCATGGAGTGTTATAATAAATGCATCTACAAAAGAGTTATACGCTGATGCTGTTTTACATTTCAAGAAGGTTTGCGCGAGCTATCCAGATCTATTGAAATATGTTGAAAGTACAATATTGGATCAGGTAAAGGAGAAGATTGTCTGTGCCTGGACCGAGCGAGTTATGCATCTCATAACAAGTGCGTATGAGAGGGTGTGTATTAATCTTACAAGATACGTTTCTTGAAAACTTTTTTCCCATTGCGCACATCTCCACCACCAAATTCCAATGATTGTATCATCTGTGTTGGATGAGTTTCAAATCCGCGATATTTTGTTCAAATATATTTGAAATTGGGATGCCCAATATCACTTACATCACTGGAGTGGGCGAGTCATTACACAATCCCTTCCGAGACCTGGTCGGACCAATTTATTGAAAAGATGCAAGAGTTCACCAAGTTGAACAAAATTGAAATAGGAAAAAAATAGGGAAAAGTCAAAAGGGATAGCACCTGTGGATTTGTCCGACGATAATTATTTCAGATCATTTAAGTAGTTAGGTATCATTTTATTGTGTAAGTCATTTTGTAAATGTATTATGTTGTATAATATAGACATTTTATAGTTTGATAAAAAATATCATCTTTCAATACATGAGATTTTTGTTTAAGTTTATATGTATGGTTATGTTTCTGTTTCTGTTTCTGTTCTGGTTTTCAGTCCTAGGGGACTTACTGAAAATATTTTTCCGGTACATATTTAGGTGGAACCAAAAATTAATTTCAGGTTTACACTCTGTCGCAGGATAGAATTTGTAAAGTTTATGTTTGCCTTCAACTACTATAAATAACCTCACTTGCCATATTGTTTCATACCAAAACACCAAAAATCAGAATGAACATCAAATGACATGTTGGAAATGTCAACTTTACCGACAATACACCATCACGAGAATTTAAGTTCATCGAATACACTCCTCTTGAAGATGTGCAAGACATATTGCAGGACCTGCTATCTTATGGCGACAATCACAAAGTTGTGAAAATGGAGTACCGCTCGCCATCTGTCGACAAAGATGGAAACTTGAGCTCATTAACCGTGAACTGAAGAACGACGCTGATATACGAGCTATGTGACATACTTTTACCCGTTTTAAAGTGAAAGTTTCGATCGAGTTAGGCGAGTGTTTCGAGATCGATAGATGATATTATCAAGATATTGCAACGTCTACCTGGACGTTGAAGTGTAATGTTCGAGACTTATTATCAAAGGCAAATTTGAGCAGAAGTGCAAATAATCAATTGACTAAAGCTTCTAGTAACGATTCTCGGATTTTAGGTAAACCTTACTAATTATGATGTGATTCTACTAGTATGGTTAGCTGTCATTGATTTTCTGAGAATATTCATTATTCATCAAGCCTTCAATTTGTTGCAGCCCTTGCTGATTGTGACTATCCGGAACAACAGCCCAAAAGACCAAAACTGAGTTGTAGCAGAAAGAAGAAACCAAATGAAAGCACATCTCTTATTACTAGAGATGGGAATGCACCTAGAGTTGATAATGAAAAGCTGGATTCTGGGAATATACCTGAAGTGTTTCCTTCCAAAATGACAGCATTACATAAAGTGAGATGGAACTTGAACAAGGGTAGTGAGAAATGGTTGTGCTTTGGAGGAGCTAATGGACTTGTACGTTGTCAGGAAGTTGTTTTCAATGATATTGATAAGAAAAATGCCTTGAAAAGATTTTAGTATTTTATACACGTCAAATTTTAGGTCTCGACTTTAAATATGTAACTAAGAAATAATCAGAGTCAAGTGACTTTGTCAATATGTAAAATTTCAATTTATAATTTAGTTATAGGTATTATTATTATTGATAATTTCTCTTTTTACCCTATAGTGAAAAGAAAAATCCTAAGAAATTTCTAAAATGCCCATTGAAATCGGAAATATATTTCCGGTGCGCACCACACACCACACACAAATAGATCAAATGTAGTTCTATCCTATTCAAAAGGTAAAACAGAATCGGAATTGTAGTTTTGGTTGTAACCAGTATTGTATTTTCTATTTGTATAACAGGAAGATTGAATTTTCTGCCAATTTGTCCATTTTATATATTATCGAAAATATATTTTCAGTATTATAAAAAGTGTATATTACTTTAACCGTTGAAGGATGATCAACCTTGTAACACCCCAGTTTCAATTATTTGATTTATTTAAATTTGGGAAAATTATTTTATTAGAATTAATAAAATAAAAAGGAATTATTTATTTTGAAATATGGAGGAAAATAAAAGAAATAAGAAAATGCTGAGTTTTTAAGTTATTGGGCTTGGATTTTGTTAGTAAAGAGTGGGGGTGCAAAAGAAGTAAGGACATGTTTTGGAACTCAAGTTATTTTTCTCATTATTCACGATAACACAGAATTTGGGGTTTTGGGAAGCAGAGCTCTGAAGGTACGAAGAACGAAGAACATCGCTCAAAAAGTTCAAAGCTGCTAATTGATAAGGTAAGGGGGGCTATTACTCGGTTTACTTTTGCTTATGGGTTTAGGTACGGTTGATTTGGGTAATCGTAGGGAAAAACCCCAATTGTTAGATGTTATTAGGGAACGATACCCTTAGGATTGAACCTTGTTAAAAAAAAAAAAAGTTTTGGATTCCCAATTTTATGAAATCAATTAACGATTTTAGGTCCCTAATGGTGGATTGGAAGTATATCTGCACGATCGTGAATTTACCTTAGAAGTTATAGGGATAACCTCAATGTTAGCAGATTTCCCCAAAAAGGACGATTAATTCCGGTTAAGGTGACTATAATGATTGTTGGTAATTAGGAAATTGATGTGTTGTTTTGAGTTGTACAAACTCGATGTCGTTAGGTACCGAATTGCGCGTTTTGGCTGGCATTTTTTCCGCGTTTGGTTGT